AGATGATCAGAGTACCCAGTTTCAAGTCGCAAGCCACCCTAATCAACCAAGCATCGCCGACGGTACCGGTGACGCTGAAATGGTGGAAGGGGCTCATGTAATCCATCTCCAAGACCCGTGGCCGGAGGAGCAACACTTACGTAGGGACGAGGAGGTCTTAATGGGGGAGATGACCCATAATGTGCTAAGCGAGGATGAGGCCTGGAACCGAGACCAGCCCCTCTCATGAGGACAGATCTTCAACCTCTCTTCCGTTTCCATGAATATCATTACTTGGAATGTCCAGGGAGCTGGTTCGCCTGGTTTCCGGGGAGCCTTCTCCACTTTAGTCCGACAACACCATCCGGATATTTTTGCTATCTTCGAACCACGGATCAGCGGAGCCAGTGCAGACAGTTTTGTGAGGTTCAGCAAATTCGAATACTCCTTCCGAGTTGAAGCCCGAGGATTTTCCGGAGGAATCTGGGTTCTATGGAACGACAAAGAGAAGGTGGAAATCTTAGGCTGCTCTAAACAATTTGTGCATGTAAGGGCAGTGAAGGATGGTCAGACCTGCCTCATAACCTTTGTATACGCCAGCCCCAACCCTACTGTTCGACGCCGTATCTGGCCGGCGTTGGATCGTCTCGCACCATGCATATCGGAACCGTGGCTAGTAGGAGGGGATTTCAACTGCCTTCTCAACCCATCCGAGAAAGCCGGCGGTTCTCGTAACTCTTACAATGTCAGTCAGGAATTTGCGGACTACATCTTCTCGAATGGGATGCATGAGGTGGCCACTGACGGTCATCTATACACGTGGATTCGGGAGGGACCAGCGGGACGCATAATGGAAAAGCTGGACCGTTTTGTGGCGAACTCTGAGTGGGTAGAGACTTTTGAAGACAGCCGGGTGCGACTTCTTCCCCGGATACAATCCGACCACTCACCTCTGTTATTGGATTTCAGCCGTCGGGCCCCTGCCGTGCACGGCAATAAACCTTTCAGATTCCTAGCTTCTTGGCAACTCCACCCGGACTTCCCAGCGTTTATGCAAGAAGCGTGGAAGTCCTCGCTCGGCTTCCCATCAGCGGCCCGACACTTTGCAGACAAGGCACAAGAATGGAACTCGAGTGTATTTGGTAATATCTTCCACCGCAAGAAGAAGCTTCTCGCTCGAATTGGTGGTATACAGAGAAGCAGACAATATTATTTTTCAGAAAAACTCGTGGCGTTAGACAAGCAACTGCGAGCGGAACTGGACGACGTAATTCTCCAGGAAGAGTTACTCCTCCTCCAAAAATCCACGAGAGATTGGATGCACCTTGGTGATCGGAACACGTCATATTTCCATCGTCAAGTTAAAGCCCGCCGAAGAAACAACCGAATCACGGAATTGGTAAATGACGAGGGGCTCCGTATTAATGACCAACTGGAACTCCGACATCTCGCCACGAACTACTTCCGGAACATCTATACGAACAGCCATCAGCCAACTTACACAGGCACCCCTACCAGCCTTTTTAAAACATGTGACGCAGGCATGTTTCGCGAAATGGAAGCCGAGATCACAGACGAAGAAATATACTCAGCCCTCCAGGGCATGGGCTCGTTAAAAGCGTCGGGAGTCGATGGCCTCAACGCACTATTTTTTAAGAAAAATTGGGCCATTGTGGGCCACTCGGTTCGGGAGTTCATACGCACTATGTGGGGAACTGGCGTGGTCCCCAGTGAAATAAACCAAACCCTTATCGTCCTCATCCCGAAAATCGAAAATGTGACCTCCATAAAACAGTTCCGGCCTATCAGTTTGTTAAATGTTGTGTACAAGCTCTTTACAAAGGTACTGGTCAATCGCATGAAAGGCTCGCTCATAGAACTGATACATCCAGCCCAAGCCAGCTTTGTACCGGGACGCCAGATCATAGACAATATTGTGGTTGCCCACGAGCTGATCCACTCTATGCGCCGCAAACAAGGAAGGAGGGGCTACATGGTTATTAAGGTAGACCTGGAGAAGGCCTATGACTTTTTGCGATGGGAATTTATCGAGGAGACTCTCCATCTAGCTGGTTACCCAACCGCATTGACGGCCGCGATCATGGCTTGTGTAAGGTCAGCTTCCATGCGCCTGTTGTGGAGTGGTACACTTGGTGACGAGTTTCTACCATCCAGGGGTGTCCGGCAAAGAGACCCCATCTCACCTTATCTCTTCGTGTTGTGCATGGAGCGGTTGGCGCAACTTATACACCAAGCGGTTCAACGAGAAGAATGGAGACCTATTTCTATTGGGAGAGGGGCGGTCACCGTGCCCTTTCTGATGTTTGCCGACGACCTCCTCCTGTTTCTGGAGGCCTCCGACTCGCAAGTTGGGACTCTTAAGCAAGTTCTTGATCACTTCTGCGATGTATCAGGCCTGAGAGTAAGCTCCGCGAAAACGCAAGTTTATTTTTCGCCCAACATTGGCATTGCAGAACAGCACCGCTTGGCACGCGACCTTCGATTCCAGAGGACGGACGATCTGGGCAAATATCTGGGGATGCCCGTAATTCATCGCCGAGTTACCAAGTCCACCTATGCACACATTTTGGACAAAGCGGAAGAGAGGCTTGCCGGATGGCGAATGAGGTCACTCTCGCTGGCTGGTCGCGTAACCCTTACCCAGTCAGTGTTGAGCGCCTTGCCATACTTTTCCATGCAGGCTGCTTTACTCCCAGGAGGGATTACCGATGCTTTGGAACGCAGGAGTCGAGCCTTCATTTGGGGTGGTAATGCAACCAAACGGAAAATCCACCTGGTCGCCTGGAAGGACGTCTGTAAACCAAAAGAAGAGGGAGGGCTGGGCATCAAGGACCTCCGGAATATGAACTATGCGCTATTGATGAAGCTAGGATGGGGCCTATTATCACGAAACAATTCTCTTTGGGTTCGGCTTATGGTGGCCAAGTATGGGCTTGACCCATCGAATAACTTGAGCACCTCCAGGTGCCGTTTGGGATCCCCGCTCATGAAATCTCTCTGCAAAATATGGCCTGACATGGTAAGAGAGGCTAAGTGGGTAGTCGGAAATGGAGAATCAGTGCGGTTTTGGATCGACCCATGGGTTGACGCCCTCGGCCCGTTAATATACCATTCTGCCCAGCGACTTCCCGAGGAAGCACTTCGTCTGACTGTCCGGGACTATGTTGACGACAGAGGTAATTGGCGATGGCAGGAATTCCACGGCCTCCTCCCCTCCGCCATCATCATGCGCATCGCCGTGCTTGCCCCGCCGCGGGAAGATGCAGGACCTGATCGAATAGCGTGGAGCGCAGCCCCGGACGGTAAATTCTCCACACGTTCTGCCTACATGTCCTTAGCTCACACGGTGAGGGATTCGAACCGTTCGCTTTGGAAAATGATCTGGTCTTCTCCAGTACCTCAGAGGGTTCGAACATTTCTGTGGTTAGTGGCCCATGATCGGTTGTTAACTAATTGCGAGCGGGCCCGACGCCATATCTCTGCTTCGACGGAATGCGATACATGCGGGGAGACCGAGACCACTCTACACGTTTTGCGAGACTGCCCAATCACTAGAAGTGTATGGCACAAACTTATCCCAGCTGAGCTCTCCAGTAATTTCTTTCAACAGAATCTTCGGGCTTGGATGAGAAACAACTTGAGGGCGGCAGCGGCTTCTGAGGATAGAGGATGGAACAGTAAATTTGCATTCGGTATATGGAATGCTTGGCAGTGGCGAAATGACCGCATCTTTAATAACCGGGCCCCGGGATATGAGATTCGATATATGAAAATTCTCCGGCAATCAGAGACATACGAGAAAGCAACCTTGGCCTATGGAAAAGCTGGCTCTGTAGTGCATTATACACGTATGATTCAATGGCACCCTCCGGAGGCGGGATGGATTAAAATTAATACGGATGGATCCTATGATCGCAATTCGGGCAAGTGCAGTGCAGGGGGCCTGATACGAAACGAGAACGGAGAGTGGATTAACGGATTTCTTATGAATATTGGCTTTGGCTCGATCGTCGGGGCCGAACTGTGGGGCCTTTTCCAAGGCCTAAATCTAGCTTGGGAATTGGGATATAGGAAGGCGATTGC